ATTATAAATGTTAATGTATTTAAAAAAAATTTCCTATATATTTAATATAAAATGTTTTTAATATAATTTTTGGTTAATTCGGTTTGGTTCGGTATCGGTACCGGGTAATTCGGTTTTGAAACTTCTATTCCATTTTGGTTATTGTACAGTTCGGTTCGGGTTTGCGTTCGAAAATTTCGATTCAGATCTATAATTTTGCCCACCCCTAGTTCTGATGGTATTGGGTTCAGCACCCATCGTCAAGACCTGACCCAAATCCTTATCAATTCGGAGCTTTGCTAAAAAGGCACACGGAGCAAGCCCACGAAAGTGAGTTCAGCCCATATAAGAGAGCTCGGCATGGGTGTTGGGGTCAAAACTCCCCTCGACTGAAATCATCGAGAAAATGGCTAAGTGTTATTTTCTTTGCAAGCTGACTAGAGAATGGTGAGATGACTAAGTCAACAGAAAGACTGGCGAGCTGACTAAGTCAACAGAAAGAGTGGCGAGCTGACTTAGTCAACAAGTTGCACTGGCGAGCTGGCTAGATGAACGAGCTGAAATAAAGAACTCGTCGAGGATTTGTTTTGCTATAAGCCGAGTTAGGCATAATTATCATAAAGATGAGTTGGGCCAAGTTAAGAGTTTACGACGAGGCGATGAAACGGCGAGCCCAAAATCAACGAGAACGAAGTGGCGAGCTCAATTAGTTCAAGGCCCAAGACATAAATTCGGCGAGGTCAAGTTTCAAAAGAATACGCGACAATTTCAAAGACCAAGGAGATAGAGCCCGTAATCAATACCGACTTCAACGAAAGGAAATCCCTAGAAATAAGGAAATCTTCCTAATTCCTTTAGGAGTTGGCCTAGCCGACCTAAAATTTGTATAAATAGACACATACATCTCTTGAGAAAGGGATCCGCAACTTTACGCAAAAATACTTAGGCAAAAATCAATAAACCTTTCTTAATAGCAAACCCGCATCTTTGTTTTTGTCTTCGTGGTTCTAGCTCAGAGATCTCAGTTTTCCTCTAAAAACCCTAACAAATTCGATTGTGTTGGTTTCACCCTCCATAATGGGTCCACGATGTCCAGCCGACCTAGCAATTCCAAGGAAAAAAAAAATATCTATTGAAAAATTGAAAATCGCTTGAATATCTTTTTAGGTTTATTCGACCGACTCAAACATGTATAAATCTAAATCTCTTAATTGTTTGGATTGGATCTTAATAGCCTACGGTATCCGGATTCACCAGGTTCTGGTTGAGTATATTGATCAATTATTATTGTTGATGTTTGGTTGTGAGAAAACTTTATCATAATACTGATGAGTTAATGTCGGCTATCCAGACTGCATCCGAGTGTAGTTATTTGTTAAAATTCCTCTCTTGAGGAGGTTTCCACCCAAGGGTTCTTTGGTCATTCTTCTAGCGAACACATTAATTAATTTAAGGTAAAAACTTTCCAGTCCAAATTTTAGAATTCTAATTGAATAAAGTCCAAATTTCAGAGTTCTAAAAGAATGCCGAAGTAGGATGCTAATGGGCTTACCAATTTTTCTTTTGCTTTAGCTTAGAAATGACTTTGGTCGGCCCTGATATTATCAAGTAATCAGCCATTTACAAATTACGATCATACAAGTCATAAGATTTAAAAAGTGATAGTTAAGCGAAGGGTTTGCTTCTGGTGCATGATGGTAGCCTGGTAATACACAAAACTCATGAGTAATTGCAAAAATACTATTTTTAGTGTGTTTATTTTTTAAAATATCATTGTAGATTGTCTATTTGCAA